CCAAAATGACCATGGAGATGAAAAACAATCCTATTTTGAAGAGAAAACTACTGTCACACAGTGGAATAGAGGTAGTGGTTCTGTGGAGGTACTCACGAAAGGAGCATGCTGTGAGTATGGCCCTGGGCTCCCCTTTCGTCTTCCCTAGAAAGATGGGAATAGAACCAGGGGACGTCCTCTGAATGTCACGTAAAAGGAGTCATGAAAACCACAAAAGGACCAACACTTCAAGAACAGGAGAGTGCCTGAAATAAATAAACTGACTGAGGTAACTGTGCTGCAGTGATACAAAGAGGAACTGCAAGGCGCAAGAGTACGCAGACCTGTCATTTGTTTGTTTATAGCAATCACGCGGTTGTTTCCATCAAGAATTATCTGTCTTCTGATATCACAGCAGTTCTAATTTCATTATAAGTTACAGAAGGAAAGATGTTTTTGTAAATTCCATTTTCATTGGTGGTGTTTTGACATTTTGCATTTTAGTTCTATAAGATATAGTTACTATTTCTGTTGAATATTTTGAGTAGTATTTTAACCTGCAATTTATCTCTTATCTGTTCTTTGATAATCCATCTCTTGGGTTAGATGTTAATCAGATTGCAGTTGTCATATTAGTTCTTTTTAAGGTTCTGCTTGCATAAAAGCTCATAGTTAAAGAACTTTCTTTTTAACTTGTTTTTTCTATGTGAAAATCTGCATTTTCCTTCGAAAAGAATGCATTTGCAACTCCTCTAAGGTTTGGGACACTTGTATGATACGATGAAAAACTGAGAGTGAGTAATTTAGAAATACAGGATATGATTATGCTACATTTTTCGCATTTTCTTCATATGTAATTTAGAGAGTAATTTTCCCCTTCTCAATAGATAAAATAGAGGAAAATCAAGGTCCTACTGATGGTTGATATACATAGGCAAAAGAAATCTAAATCTGTAGGTTCTGTTGCCCTCCACTTGCTCTTGTCCATTGGTTTCCTGCCCTACCTTACATCCCTTCTCTCCATTGGAGCCATCTCTGGCTCACCAATTCCAAAGGTAGATTCAGTTGGTGCACCACTTCTTTGGGGGAAGATTCTCGGCCATACTGGTTGGGAACTCAATCAGTTCTCAAAGGAATTCAGGAAGTACAAGAATGGCATGAGGCAAGAAGGTGAAGATTCCTTGACAGGAGCTGGAATTTTCACACTACATAATCAAGTGATTGGTAAACTGGCAGTAGTCAGCTTGGGTAACTTTACCCTAACAGTGCCTGCACTGGCTGTCAGCTGAGCAAGGCCCTGCAGAGGCAGAGAGTTCTTAGGGCAGGGCAGGCAGTCAGTGGGGATGTGAATGCGTACTCAGTCACAGTAAGGAATCTTTTTTGCCATGTTAGGTTAAACTTGCTACTAGACATTTGGTTATGTGCACCCACGTTGTTTTTCCTGTAGCAAACCATGACATAGTAATGTCTGTGCCAAGATTTGCGAAAGTGGTAGGCAAATAGTACTGAGAAAAAAACAGACCAAAAAGGAGGTTTAGAGGCAGCAACAGCATAAGCAGCACTTGTTGCACTGAACCACTTCCACCCTGTGCTGTAGATGCTTTTGCCGCACAGATGACTGAAAGGGACTTCTCTGTAAATGACTGGAGAGAAAGTTCTCTGGAATGCAGCGTCCTTGTATCAGGCTGGCAGTCATCTTCTCCATGAGTTTATGGTGATAGCTTTGATTGTTAAACAAAAAGTCCATTTGCTTCACTGGAATTTCCATCTTTTGGAAGACAACAGAATTGGAATGCCGGACTGATGTGGCAGTGGTTCCAGCCACGCATGTTTGTCTGGCAAGGGCTGACAGCCTCTTCGTGCTGGGAAATACTTTGGGTTCACTTCCTTGTGCTGACACAAGACACAACTGGTGGTGCCACCTACTAATGCCAGTGTAACTTCTCCTCTCGTAATTCAGATTAGTAGATAAATGGGTGCTATTATTAATTGACTGAATACTTTGAAATACTTCAGGGGGAAAACTGATGATGGCAGTGTAGGTGAAGGGTTTTCTCAGATACAGTTGCAGACAGCACACATTGCAGTGCTATGGTTTGGGGGCAAACTGTTTCAAATTCTTTTTATAGTTAGGGAGTCTAAAAAAATCTAAATCCAACACTTTGCTGTAGAGGCTCTCTCTGGAATAACAAAGTAGACTGCAGTGTGGATTAACAGCAAGAGGATTATTTCTTTGGCAGAATAATCTGTGAATTCTGCTTATGCTGACTAAAGCCAGCTTCAGCAAATACTTTAAAAGTGCATTCTTTCTTTAAATCTGCTTTTTCAGTGAGTGAAGGCAGGTTGCCTTTACTCCTTTAAGTAATCGAAGTGTTCTCTCAGAATCGAAGAGTACTTGAAGCGTTAAGGTAGTGATATAACCTACAGGAGGAAGATGTGATGTCAGCACCTCTGCAGTGGCACACCTTTGTGCTCCTGCTCACATAGCTTCCAAAAATGATAGGCCAGAAAGCTGTGGAAAACTGTAGGCAGCTGTACCAGCTCTCACTTTTTTCTTTTTCCTACGAGCCAAACTGGCCTTTATGTGCTATTAATTCATTCAGTTGCTTTTCTTAGGGCAAGACTGTATTTACAGAACCTAACGTGAAGACAGCATAGTGTAGCTTGGGATTTAAAAATGTTACTGCACATAATGTCAGGATAAACAGAACAGAAATGAATATAAGTTCCATCCACCCTGATGCTTCCCAAATTACTTTTTTTTATCTGCTTCTAGCCAACCCTCTTAAGAAATATACCTGGCAAATAAAAATGTTCTTCATAATCATTGGAGCCACTAAATAATATTTAGCCTTGTCCCAAAGACAATAGAGACACTGCTTTTCTTCTTCCTACCTTAATCACTGTAGGTATCTTATTTTGAAGTTGTTTTCACCTTCCACCAAGGAAAGGTCAAGCTGGAATATAACTGTCCTAAAATAATCTTTACATAGTATGATTTCTTAGACTCTTTGGACAGAGACCTTGTTTCCCATTTTGAGCAATCTGTTTTCTGCAATAAAACACTGAATGTGTCTCCCTGTTGCTATAGAAATTGCATTAAATGAGGGAACCAGTGCCCTGCTGTCAACAAATCTAGCCTCTGGAGCTTGAATTTCACCACTGGGAAGATGTGTACACAATTCTACAGATTATTTCTGCAGCTTATGCATATATGTCTCTATACTCTGAAACTGTTATCTAAATTTCCCAAAGTGACTGCAAGTAGATTAGCATGGTGTAATCTGTTTACTCATCTCCTAATTAAGACTTCCCCTTCATCTTTTCCCTGCCTCCCTCCCACACAGAACATATTTTTGAATTTACAGATTGAAATTTCCAGTTCTTTACATAGGAAGGTGGGGAGAAGCAGGGCAAGCAGCTTTCTCACCAGGCTTCCTGACTCACAGACAGCAACAAATACCTGATTTAATTATTATTATTATTTTTTTTAACCCAGCTCCTCCAAGTAACTCAAGATGTTACTTGCCCTGTTATTTTGTTTTCTGGAACTAATAAGGATTTCTTGAAAAGGATGGCCCAAACTCACCATGCACCTTGTACATTAACAAATCCTACAAACCCACCTGTTTTCCTCTAGTTCCAAATGCCATATACCCAGTATTTCTAAGTTACACAGAGATTTTGCTCCACCTTTCTATTCTGTTCATAAGTTAAAGATGAGCACTATGGATTTCCTTCCATTGAACTGACACAACACATATTAAATCTCACACTTGTCTTTACATTTAGATGTATGGATGTGTTATTTTTCAGTATTTTTTTTAAGTGTCAACTTCTAGTAATTCTAGTAATAGCAATAAAGTACAAGGTTTATCTATTGGGAATAGAAAAGGAATTGAAGTCTTTACTAAAAACAGCTACCAAGGGTAAGTATTTCTCAATATTAATCATAAGAATTTTGAAGAAGTGTGGATAAAAATGTATTTTGTCTGGTACATTTTTTGACAGGAGCCCCTGCAGTGCATTTCAGTGTATAATATATATATGGAGTTATAAAACTAGAATATGGACTTGTATGCAAATGTGTAATTCTGATGTCAGAGTTCCTCTAAAATTCCTCTAATTTCTTCATTAACAAATTCAGTTATTTTTTGTGAAACAGGCTCATGTTAGAAGCATGGTATGTATTTTAGGACAAAATACACTTCATATATGTGAGATTTAATTAATAAGAAACAGCAGTATTAGTGGCTTCTGTGCTTAAAGGTAACTCTAGAAAACCTCCAATAAATGTCATCATTAAAAATATATTTTTTAAAAGCTTTCTAAACTTGTTTAGTGATTGCACGTTCAGTGAACATGCTTAGAGGACTAGTTTCAGAAAACCTCAGTAGTAATTCTCTGCATACGTATATTGGTACAAAAACTAGTAAAGCACACAATTACCTTTCTTTGAAATTAATGCCATGCTTACTAGAAAATGGCTGTGCCATATAAGAAGTCACCACAAGACAGTAATTCCATTTTTGCTGTTAAAGTAGTTCTTGTAATGAAAAAATGAATAAATTTGTTTGTGCAACCATAAAATATAAACCACATTTTAACCTGTTTCTTTCCTTGTGTAAAGCTGACTCGTACCATCCAGTGTGGCTGCATTTTTTCACCAGATTTTCAGACTATAGATGACAAGAATTGGCCCGCCAAAGCTTTTCATGCAAAACATTGAATATGAGGTCATGTACTGCTGTGTGATCTGTTGGTTCCTCTCCAGAGTGTTACTTAATGAAAATTTCAGAGAATGGCTGAGTAATTGATAAAGGAGAGGGGCAAAAAGCAGGAGGGAAGGGGCTGTGTGAAAATATAAAGTGAATATATATTCCCTATTCTATATAATTACAAACCTTATACTTAATATTTTCTTACTGTATATGGTATTTCCATTAACAAAAACAGACACTGAAGGTAGAAGAAGATAGCATGAACAGTGAAACGTGGTTTTGTGGTGTTTTTTTTAATAGGAACTCAGTGGAGAAAGGACCAAGAGCAAGATCTAAAGAACGTTCTGCAGAACACTGACCAGGACATCCCGTTGGTATTTGTCAGTGGAAATCATGATATTGGTAATACTCCAACAAGAGAAACAATAGATAATTATTGCAAGAGTTGGGGAGATGACTACTTCAGCTTTTGGGTAGGAGGTGTTTTCTTTCTTGTGCTGAATTCTCAGTTGTACTTCGATTCTTCCAAATGCCCAGAGTTAAAGCAAGCTCAGGACACATGGCTTAATGGGCAGCTGGCTGCTGCCAAAAAACATAAATGCAAGCATGTAATAGTGTTTCAGCACATCCCTCTGTTTCTGAGAGAGCCTGATGAAGACCATGATTATTTCAACTTGGAAAAATCAGTTCGACAAGAGATAATGGAGAAATTCCATAAAGCAGGTAACTTCTTGAGTTCTTCTTGCTCTGAATGAATTTTTGCTTCCAATTGTTAGTGGCTACAGTGCCAGGAAAAAAAAAAATTTTGCATGGTACTGTTTTCAAGAAGTTTGGGGTACTGTTTATAAGACTTGTTCCTCTTAGGTCAAAATTATTGACCAAACCCTAGCATCTGTCAAAAGTAGTTTAAAACTTTGAGTGAAAAGAAAAATGAGTGAGAGACTTTTAAAAGAAGTAGCACAGATTTCAATTTACAAGTACTGGCAAATACTAGACAACCTGATTTTTTTTTTTTTTTTTTTCTGCTTAAGGAGTGGAAGATCAGGTTGCCATATAACAAAAGTACAGATTTTTTTTTTTTTTCTCCCCTATAAAACAGAAGCAGAATTCAGAATTACCTTGCAGGCTGTTTTCTCTCTCAGTGAGCCAATTTTATAGCATCATCCAGATTTATACAGTGCTAAAGAGTCTTGCTTTGCTAAGATCCACCCTTTTTTTTTTTATCTGCTCCTAATAGAGGTCAATTCTGGGATAAAAGGCAGGTAGAGCATGCTTTGAATGAGAATATTGTAGCAAATCCCTTAGCTTTGTGTGATGAAACTTCAATGCCATGGGGACAGGTACACTGTGCAGCTACATCTCCACACTGTTCCAACTGTTTCCTGCTAATTGCTTTCATGTTTCTGAAGTGTGCTAGTCCCTCAAAATTTCCTGCCAGCCAGTCATCACTGCATCAGTGTCATTTTCTCTGTATCTATAAAAGAACAAGTTATTTGGATTACCAAACAATGGCAATTGCATATGATATTGTTCCTAATTTACCATGTAATTGTTAAGCCAGAACTCATCCAGAGCCAGTCTAATTTCCAAGCTCTGAATATCCTCCTGTTTCCAATCAGTCGGGCCAAAATTCATAAATATCTGAGGGCTCTTCACGAGACTGACATCTCAAGATTTGAGGCTTAGAAGATTGCTTTTTTTCCCACAAGGAGACATCCTGAGCATACCTTATATTTTGTATTAAGATATCATAAGGAAATCATTTTTGGTCACGAGTATTTTTGTTAAGGATTTTGGTTTTATTACACAAAAAGGGAGATTGTTGTCTTTATTTCAAGAAGTATTTCACTTCCTGCTTTCGCACTCTCCACCTCTCCCTATGCTGCTTGTCATGATGCTGTCTTGCAGTGTTTCCAACCACTCTGGCAGAACAGCATGTAGTTATGAAACATTTAAATATATTCAATATATTGTGTATGTTTTAGGGCTTGTTGGCTTTGGGAACACACTGTTAATAGGGTGCGCACTGTATTTCTGCTGTTAATAACACAGGATCAGACCTGGAGCTATCCCAGTTATCAAGACTTCGTGTTGATACTTTTAAGTTTATGGTATCAAACATAGAGCCACCACGCACAGAGAGAAAGTGAGAGGGACAGATGGGGAAGGAAGGACAATCTAAGGATTTCAGGGTTTCCATAAACTAAGTCAAATGGGTCTTTTGGGAAATAACAAATACTTGAAGTATGGTGGTGTTACACAGAGGCTTCAGAGGTATGCAACTTCAGGAAGCAATTGTTTTAAATTTTGAGCCCAAATCTCATGTAAGTGGTTAGAAAAGACCACTACACATTACAGAATGTTTTTGGTTAAAGTATCCCCTCAATGCAAGCAGAGAGAAAAGACTAGCTGTACAGGCTACATCTGGTACAAAGTACTGAATTACATTCTCACATTAGAAGTGTCTTTAACAGTTGAGGTAATTAAAGAGAAATTCATGTCCTTGTGATAAATATTTACAAATTGAAAATCTGGCACTTGTAAATATGTATTACTACTACACAAAGTTAAACTATATTTCTAATCAGCATGTCTAAATAATTTTTCTAATCTCATTTTTTTTCAAATCATTATAACAAGTAATGTCCTTGGAAAAAAACAATGTCAGAGATAGTGAAAATCTACTCTGAGAGCACAGTTTGTCATTTGAGAATACATTGATGAAAATGTATTTCTGTAACTCTAAATGTTTAGCCCCAGTTGTCAAAGGTTGTGTGAACAGTTTTTGAATGAGGTGAGGTCCACTCTTCTATGTGAAATGCATATTCAGTTCTTAAGCATTTTATAGTGATGTTATAAAGAAGTGTGCTTTGTGGGGGGGAAAAAAAGGGAATTCAGGTACTAGTCTAGCTGAAAATCTGATCTGTGTGCCTTGTTTCTTTGAATATGATAAATTGGTGTTAAAATTTCAAGTTTCTGCAGTACTCTTTCTTACATATCTCATCCAAGAGTAGTTTAATTAGCCCATTGCAGCCATTTTCTATGACCAGAAAGATGTGTGTTTTTGCTGATCTACAGACGATTTTTGAAAGAGCTGTTGCATGTGAATAACTGCTGAGACACTGAAAATCCTTAGTACGTGTCACACAACATAGTAATAATTACCAAATTAAGTAAAATATGAGGGCTGCTCTGAAAGTTATGCCTCCTGATTTATTACATCAGCCCCCAACATCAGAGGCAGCTGTTGGTGGGATGGCAGCAGAGGCTGAACCTTCCCACCAGCGTTCCGTGACACGTTGTTGCTGTGTGACAGATGGCAGCAGAGGGGCACTGTGACAGAATGGCGCCTGACATGAAGTGAGGGTGGAGCAAAGGGTGGAACTGGATTCCTCCATGTGGAAAAAAGGGCCCCCACTGACTCATCAATAGTTGCTCTGTCTTCATAAATGTTCACAGTGGCTGTGAGCCCAGGGGGGTGTAGGTGAGTGTTTCAACAGTGGCAGTCACTGTCACTGGTGCAGATTTTTACAAGTGCTGCCTGCAGGCTCTTGTTCATCAATAATGAAAATGCACACGTCATGGTGGTATTATGTTGAAGAATAGTGTTTTGCAGGTGAGAATTGCTGTATCAAATAGTGTTACTGGACTCATTGTGCATGCTGTAGTTTCCATGGAAATAACTAGGAGGCATCACTTTCAGAGCAACCCACAAACAAGGTTAAGATCTTGGCTGAATAAAACTGAAGTTGATAGCTCCTTTACCACCAACAAAACTGATAAAAGAATTCATGGTTCAGAGCAAGATGATAAATACAGGTTGGCTATCAAGGGCAAGAGTCTTGTTTCAGAATCACAAGATAATGCATATAAAATAATGGAAGGAAGATCCTCATAGCATCCAGCTTTTTTAATTGAAAAGTTATAAATTCAGCTAAATGTCTTCAAAGTAATTTTTCAGACGTGGTGGAAAACACTTGAATTCATACATACAGGAAAAAGTAACAACCTAACTTTACTATATGTCTTTTTTCATTATATGTGGTGATTCTAAATGCTGTAACTTGTAACTCTTTACTCATTAAAAGAGCATAATAGCTTCATGCTCCTCTTAGATTTTTTTTTTTTAACATAAGACTGATATTAAAGGGAGAAGCAGCTTTCTGAACATCCTCAGCTGAGATGTATTTGAGTACCAAATTAAAGCGAGGAGTGTTACCAGACAACATGCTGTATTTTCTATTTTCTTTGTTGTGTAATCAGAATAGACAGGGGGTAATATTTTCTTCTTCTTGCCACTGAGACCTTGATTTTGGTAAAGCCTATACACCAAGTGAGTAATCTTAGTGCTCGCTCATATGTCACTTTGTCAGTATTTAAGATAACGTAGATTTACGTATTTCAACTTCAGTATCTAGAATTACTATTATAATGAAATTATGTGTTCATGGTGCAGGTAAAGTGACCAAATTTGATGTTTGATATCTGATGTTTATCTGCATAAGAACATTGTTTTTTAAGACCATGCCCTAGGTATGACAACATAACACATAGATAGATACAGACTTGTCCTTTTTTTTTTTTTCAGAAATTCAGCAAGGAAATACTGCAAAACATTTATTTAGCATAATTCATAATGAGACTAAATAACATTTATTCTTAGATAAATGAATGTTTGAAGTTTGTTTTCTCCTCTGGGCTGTAGTTTTGATTGGTAAAAACTTCTTTTCAATCCTTAAGAGCACACAGCAAGCCAGTCTGCGGTCTCTATCAGATATCTTAGAAAGCTTAACTTTCAAATTGAGAAAGTAACAGAATCAATAAATAAATTCCACTGATAGGCCACATAAGCCATTCACGAAGATTAACCCAAAGCATAGAGTGACCTTCTACAGATTGCACCCACAATGGCTTATGTAGCCATCCCAGGTCTGCAGCCACCCTCTGGCTGTGCTTGCTGCCTCTTATCTGCTTACACAGAAAACACGAGTGCGGGTAAGGGCCTTTTCTAGAAAACTTTTGTCATAGATACACTTTGCAGACTAGGAGACCCCAAGGAAATGTTATGAAGCAGCGTCAGGGGAGGGCCAAGCTGGGTATCAGGAAAAGCTTTTCACTAGAGGCAATGGAACAGCCTCCCCAGGGCAATGGTTATGGCTCTAAGTTGCTGGATTTTGAGGTGCATTTGGGTGGTCCTGTGTGGAGCCAGGGGATGGATTAGATGACCCTGGTGGTTTCTTTCCAACCCAGTATATTCTGTGGTTAATAAATTTGTCTCCCACTTGCACCAGTTGCATCAAGCTCTGGATTTTTTTAGTTGATAAACCAAGTTTAAGGACGTTTTCCTGCAAGTTTCCAAGGTCATAATTACTAACAATGTAGTGTTTTCTACTAAGATTCTCATCGTGCTGAGAGCTGTAATTCTACATTTTTGTTCTGTATTATTCAGAGAACACCTCTGATGAAGAATGTAAATAATACAGAGCTTCTAAAAGGCTGCATAAAATAGTTTCATAATGTTGCTATTTAAGGCTGGAGGGGTTACAATAAAAGGCTGCTTATGCCCTGACACCTACCTACCAGATGGAATATTTCCTTCTCATAGAGGTCTGTTAGTGGGATTAGGATTTTTGTAGAGCAGAGTCTGAGAACTCCCCGAGCACTGAACAGTCCTGTTAACAGAGCTGTGACTGTTACTTCACGTCTTGTTTGTTGCTGTATTA